AAACTGGTTATAAGAAAGCTTTTCTGTTCCGCTATTGACACCCAAATGTGTGTAATTCCTCGTAATACAATGTTACGTTCTCTGCGAGGCATACTGATGTAATGTACCTGTACCAATGGATCAGGGTTTTATCAGCCAAGTATCCATTAGGAAGAGCTGGCTTTACTTAGAGAATAAGAGTCTCCACACTACCCATCACTACAAGATAACATAGATCCTACAAGGATGTATTTCGAGTAAATCAAAAATATTGAGTAGGAACAGAAAAAACGTGTGGCTGTGTTTGTGGTTTTATAATTTAATAATATTCAGTGCTGGATATGTTGCCTCGTGTATGTTGTATGGATTTATCAGATGAGGATATGAAACTTTCATAACTATGTACAGTGATATGAGATGATGATCTCATGAGAAGTGAACTGCTACGCTTTCTGAAAGCGATCCCATTTCAGGTTCGTAAATAAAACAAAGCGCTAACCAATAGCGTTGCAGAAAGCAATCGATGCTTAAAATGTTTGATTACTTAAATCGAAATGCGCCGAGATTATCGCCATCTTCAAAAATGCATAATTGCACATGTTAAATGCTATGCAAATAATCAAGGACAAGGACAGTTCTTTCACAGACTCAATAATTTGGATTTAAATTTTGTGATCGTATCACATACAGTATCAGCCCAAAATATATAGACAGTTAGACTATTAATTGTTTGTTTATTTATGGGATCAGAGAATGTCTGAATCAAAGATCAATTTTTAATTGTTTTTTTTTGCCCATCTTATCTCAACTGAATATTAAATGTCTTCATCAACCGAAATTTTTTTTGTTAATATAAATTATATTTTAAATTCTATATACTGGTCACTCAGGAGCCTACAATAATTAATATAAAATTAATTATGCATATTTTGTTAAAATAAAATTTTAAGAAGTTGAATTTGTTATTAAGTTTTACAATTATGATTAATACTAAATTTTAAATTGCTAGAGTTTATAACTGGATTACTTTGTTGGAAAGATACCATATATCCAGTGGTAGTAATTGCTTCCTGTAAAGCAATGCCTAGTGGTGACCGAGATCGTTGGTCAAAGCAGAGGTTGATATTCAAAATTAAAGTTGCTTGTCCATTGATCAGGTTGGAGAATAAAATGCTTGTTCCATTTGATAGCAAAATAAATTAACGACAATATTTGAAATACAATTTTAATTCTGACTATTCATTAATACAGAAGTGTACAAAAGAGTGACAACCAATTACAAGTCTTAAAAACTCTGAAAGCAATTTTCTGGACATACGGTGAGCAATTTTGGGCTATCCCATTTGGATGATTTATAAAAACTAGGCATTTTTTTTTCACCTGTCCACAGATACACACAATTTGTTCTTTCACCTGTCCTGGTAGGAATCTGCCTGTCTGGGATAGGTGGGCAGGTCTTAATTTCGAACACTGTAAAGTGAACCCAAAACATTAAAACATGGCCACAAATTTAAATGAAATCCCAATTCAATACTTAAACCACAGTGTCCATTGGGCTGTGCTAAATTCTTGTAAACAAACAACATATTTCTGTGCATTGCATATAGTGATTGGGAATAATATCGGATATGACTACTACCACTGCACCCTCTTATTAAATATTACCCAGGACTAGTTGACACATACAACGCAATGTTAATGTACGTCATTACTTGCGCATGTGTAACAATGTATTGTAGCAACCGGAATTTTGATTGTTGTCATCATACAGATGTGTACATTATGCAATATAAAACATTATTTATGTACCTAATAACAGGCTGTATGATTACTATCATATTTAGAATTGTAACCATGGCAATGTTGATAATGTCAAACATTTAATATCCTTACAGTAGATAGATGCCGTTAAACTGACACGTTTCATAGCTCATAAAATGTAATTATACTATAACTAAAATGCAATTTGTAAATGTTGCCCACTTGTACAAATTTCATGCATATTGAATTCTGACAGATGGGTTCTATCTCGTCACAATTTAGTTTTACCGAAAACTGTAATGTTTAACGTTTGTATATTATTCATGCTATATATTATTTCACAAGTAAACTATTTGGTAGTTTCATAGGTAAAATATGTTTTGTATGACCTGTATATACCCAAGCTTAGTTGTTGTTACCCCTGCTGTACCCCTGCTGTACCCCTGCTGTATAACCTTGTTTTAGATTCACTGTGAGATTCTGTGAGAATTATTCAACCTTGGGCCATAAAAAACAGACCTTACTAAGGTGAGTGGTCACTCTGCTCGCCTGTTGCTGAAATGAAGACCCAGAAGAGCTAATTATTACTCTCTCAATCCATACTATTTTGAAAGGATTTTAATAGCGTAGCTACTCTATTCACTCTGTTCAGGTAAGCTGCAAGGCTATTTTCAAAAGGCAAGGCTATAAAAAGATGCTATTTACTTAAACTTCATTGGAAAAAATGGTGTTGATGGGTGTGGGTGGAAAGCAATTTGTTTTTTTCGGGGGGGGGGGGGCTTTACTGAATCGCACTGTTTGATTTATGTGATTCTTTGACGTCTGAACTACGTCATCACTACTTGGGTTCTGAAATATATTGAACTGTGACAGTACAAATTATGTATACAGCCTGCTTTGAGCTGCCTGCTTTAGTTTCAGGATACCGTTCCAAGTATACAAGGAATATAAATTTGGTTTGGTTTTAATTTGAGTACAACTGATAAGAAGGAACTTTCCCTCAACTGAGATTTGCCCATGGGCTATTGTTATTGAATACCTGTAGATGTTTTACAGCCAATTCTTGTTGTGGCTGCGATATTTTTACGCTAGTTTGAGGAGAGTATGTTGCTATACATATTTGAGGTAGAGGTATAACTTTCCAAACTGAGCTATTCTTAGATTAATAGTCTACAGAATGCATCATGCACAA